GTTCCTGCATTGCTCCGCATGCCAATAAGGAAATCTTTTCAAGCTGTAATCGATGGCGACTTAAATATACATACTTATGTACATACATATACATACATATGTACTAAGTTATTTTAAATATGTATGACAAAATGACACCTTAAGGTCAAGTAATTTTCCTTTCCCTTAGTCACTGAAATGAGTTTCGTCTTCCAATTGACAGTGTTAAACTCACTGTATTTAGTATAAACAGCAAAAGCTGAAGAAAGCGAAAGCCGTGCTTTGCACACCCCGCTTTGTTTTTTTTTCTTGTATTCGTTTTTTATTGCTGCTGTTATTTTTTTTTTTTTTGTAATAGCTGGTGTAGTACTGTTCGGCAGTACTTTATGTTATTTGTTAAGCCTATTTGAGGCCAAATTTATGACGTCGGTAATGTGCAAAACTTTAATAGAAATACCTTTGACTACATCATTGTTATGCAATTGTATGAAACAGCGAAGCGTATGCATGTTTGTAGGTACATATATGTTTATACATTTATGTACATAGTATGTACTACATACATATATTGAGTATACTCGGCTTGTTTGTGCAGTTTTAAATTATTACGTCGATTTTTATGTGCGTTGAGCATAAAATTTAAGATGCGGAAAGCTGCATGGAATTATTTTATGTATTTGTTGTATGTTATGCAGCAGTGGCCTGTGTTTTGTTTATGCTTCTGTGCTTATACAAATAAAAATGTTAAAACCAGCTTGCGACTTTACAGGGCAAATACGTAAATTTCACCACAAAATTGTTTTCTCTGCGATTGTATTTTCTTCATTTGGTCGTTATTATAATTTTCTGATTTCCTGATTGCTTCTGAACTCCAAATGCACCTTCAATTTTTAATTAGTTCCCCTAAACACTTACAACGATACAAAGCTTGATCAATAGTAACTAATAGTAAACCAATATTTACCTTATAAGGATCTGCACAAACTCCTTAGAAGAGATTCACCAAGGTAATTGTAGGGATGTACCTTGCATCAAGATACACTGGAATTCCGTCCGCTTAGACGTGTACTACCACACTGTGCAGTGAAACTTTCTTTTTGCTGCCACCCGAAATATTGGAACACGCATTCATGAGAAAACAAAACTAGTTGATATATGCTACAACTATTGCTGCCACTGCTGTCGGTCTTCGTGTATACCGATAGTGCCAACGCTGCTTGGAAGATTGTTGCCGCTCTTTACAGTCAACTTCAGTTGGCACTCGAAGTTTTGTTTACAGTTTCACATTTATTTGTGACCAAACTGGTTTACTTGCAATCTCTCAATATTTTTTTGCAAGTTATATCTTCCAATCTCGATTTTGTGATGTATTTTCTTTGATTACAGTGAAATTCCCTTCGTATCTAATTGTATGAGTGTATATGCACGTCCACTTGTGCTCTCTCAAAGCAGCCACCGCGTCAGCTGATCACCTGCTACCAGG